TTTGAATTTTTTTTTTGTCAGATTATTTTCCTGAGGTTTCGTAACGTGAAGCTCCGTAACGGTCAATCATTACTTACAATTCTTATCTGAAGGAGTAGGCGTGGCATAGACATGACATAGGATGGGCTACTCGTAGGATATTTCAATTTGAGACAATTGTCATCTTGTCCTTGCTGGACAAAGACATGACCACAATTGTCTCAAATTGAAAATATCTCACCAAAAGCAGCCACGTTTAGTTGAAGTGCGCGGCCACGCCCACCGCACCTCAGAGATTTCTAAAGTATACAGCTTCAATTCTATCAATCTTGAAGACAATGAAGAGATGGAATTCAACTCAAATAGATCTTAGTCTTGCCTTGCTTGCCTTACAGTACAACACACCATAAAAAAATAAAAAACGATCGCATAAAAAAGAGCGCGCGTTCAGTTGTTTTCCTTTTTCGCAAAAAGAAATCGGACACATGTGCGGGGTTTTGGATAACTGAACACTTTCACTTCCGAAAAAAAGGGTCATAAATGAGATATCGCAGAAAAATCGTCAGAATGCGGAATAATTAGTCAGTGAAACGGGTTCCCGTTTCTCAGGAAGATAGCCAAGGTGGGCGGTCACTAATGAATTTGTCGATGTGATTTAGCGAGGAATGCCAATATATTGATCTGCCACTAAGGTCATATTGAATACTTGCCTTTATTACTTCGATCATGAGTGATTTCTACTATGAGATCCTACTTTAGCTTTCGATATTACTCAATCGTTCACGAAAAATGGCCTTCCCTGCGCAATAGCAACTTTCTTCGGTTTCTAAAGTGATCATCGAATCAGTCGATTGATTAACCATTAGAAGACAAATGTATTGGAAGAATTGATTAAATGTCGTTAGCCTGGTCGCCTCAGGTTCCGATCATCACAACCAGATGTATTAAATAGACTATTACTATACTAAAATAGTGAAGGTAGCGTACCGGCAAATGGCGCTGCATATCATGCCCTACCCAGGTGCTAGATTGGATATCGACCCCAAATCGGGCTAACCAAATCTCCTATCACGTCTGGGTTGATACCTTACTCGTCTGGGAGGTAAACCGCCGCGTTTCTACGTCGGCTTGTAGACCCTGGCATCTATTACTTATTCCCCAATAGTGGGTTGCATTCCTTTTTTCATACTTCTCATTCCGTCCATCCCACCTCACTGAGGAGCCTCCTGGGATGGATGGAATAAAGTGGTTCGTCTGAGTAGAGGCGAAACGAACCACTCTACTCTCTTTACTGAATCCCATGACTCATTTCCATTTCTTTCCTACCTTCTACATTGTCACCAATCACTGTATAAGGCCAATCGCGAGCGCTATTGAAATTCTGACCGAGAACGAACATCCCACACGACCGTGTTAATCTACTTACTCTGAAAAACCTTTTATAAAATTATGCCCAAAGGCCTCTGATACGAGAACAACAATCCCATCGCTGCGTGCCGTTCCGATTTCCACAGAGCTCCGATTTTTCGAACCTCGGTATTGTGATATTGTACCGCCAACAATGCGTGCCGTTAAGAGGGCCAACAAAAGTTTCTACTTAAACTTCTTCTTGTTATAATGTGTCCTGGTTTCACTAATCACATCACTCAAACTTTTTGAGAACTTGCTTGTAGCGTCCCTGATAACGGTGTCCAAAAAAGTCTTAGCATAGTAGCTGAGGGCCAATCAAACGAGGCCCTAAATTTCTTCATTTGTATCCAGTGAGATATTCATCTCTGTCGATTCATAAGGTGCAGGCTGTCTAAACCTAAGCTAGAGCCACAGATGTGGGCAAAATTGGATCCTTGGCGAGTTTCAGTGGCGCGGCCCACCAACGGCCCAACTAAACTCCCACCTGTTCTCCTAAATGTTGCCCCTGCCCTTAGGTGAAGGGATAACTAACGATTAGGCCTGCAAAACCCACCAGCTGATTATTTGATGGCTCCGGTGCCCAGATAGAGTAGAGAGCCTCTGAGAGACCGAAGAAAGAGCATTTTTCGTTATCTCTGAACAGTACTATTTCCTTGGAATGATACGTCCGCAGCACGAAAGGTCTGTTGCACTCTTACATTCAGGCGGTGAATTTCCCTATTTAACGCTCTATGCACTCTCGGACCGCAAATTATGCGGCCTTGTCCTCTACAGATGGTGGCGTTGGCGCAGTGCCAGCCCAATTCTCCACCAATCGCTGGGCAGGGCAAGCTACAAACTGGTTAGCGGACTGACGCGTACAACCAATGCCGCTTGCACACCCCATCATCCACAGCTGAGAATGGGTGCTGGGCAAACAGTTCAGCTGCTGGCCAAACCCCCATTGCGGAGCCCTGGTTACGTGACATCTTGAACTTTTGTGCGTGGTCCTGTTGCGAAACCAAGTAACGCAGACTGTTGAAGGACCAGCGGCTCGGGCCAAACATCCGCGAAGACGTGCCAGGGGACATGTAGCGGGCAGGAACGTGCCTCTGTTGGGGGGGAAGGGGACTCCTGGATGGGTCTTAATCCGCTGGAAAGCTGGAACATGTGAGAAGTCGGCAGACGCCGCGAGTGCCCTGCGGAAAAGAGTGGCTTACTTAGCTTCAAAGACAGCCCCTCTCGTCCAAGAGTGAGTCATGGTCAATCACTATCACTTGTGCAAGTAGTCATCAGCCAACAATCTAGAGACTGTCAACTCTCACGACTCCCACATATGAGAGGAAGAGCGAGCTACAAGCTCCGCTCATAAGTTTCTACGTGTCTAATACGCGCCTGCGTCAGGTTGACTTGTGCCGCGCTTGCTAGAGATGCCCTCTGATGGAGAGCCGCCTAGTTGTTCTTTGTTGGGACGACGGGCATTAATCGGAACTGCATGTACTTTTTGCTGACCGCGCTCGTGCCCATAAATAATTCTGCTCTCCTTCATCACATTTTTCCTTCTTTGAGAATTACTTATCAGCTACTTTTTCATAATTGATCCTTGACACTTTTACCGTGGGAGCTGTCTTTAATCCATTTTGCAATTTTTACTCTTGTGAAAATTTCGTAGCAGTAGCAAAAATCAGTAATCGTTCTCTACGCAAAGAAATCGAGGGCGCGGCTTCAGAGCAACAGTACCTTGACCTCACTGCCTCAAACGGTAAGCTCCGTGATTCAAGCGACATAGGGCAAGTTGTTTTTGACGTACTGCTATACAAATTGAGAAAGAAATATTTTTATCTATATTATCATCGTTCTTAATATATCACAGATGGCAAAGGACTTTGTATACAGCTGCGAGAAAAGAGGACCAGCTAACAGTTGCTCGTGGATACCCGATCACATATGGAAAATAAGGATAAAGAAATTGAAACAAACATTTAGAAGTATTTTCAAGCACGAAAACAACCGCTCCATATAAGGCTATCATTAATCACACGAGAAGACTACTAGTTATCGGTCACAATGCAATCATTGGAGATTACCAATTCGAATGATTTGGCGCTTCATTCAGAAGAAAGTCGGAATTCACATCGGAGTGCAGGACGCTGTGCAGCACCTGCATGTGCACGATTTTGACCCACTTGTTTCGTCGTGACTATGTTTGTTCAGAGGCGAAAAATTTCGGGTGCAGTGACGTTAATAAAGGCCTAAAGCAAAGAATAACGCGCTAAGATAGTTGGAGAACGGGGCATCCGGGGCGTTACCAGGCTAACCAGTTTCTTAGCTGTCTGCGTCCTCTCCTTAATCAACTGTTTGCGCAGATCAGCAGAGAATGGGTAGGGTTCAGGGCACTACCCTATGACTACAGCAAAGAATGACGCGCTAAGATATTTGGGAAAAGACAATCCAGAAGCGAATATGTCGAATACTTTTCATGGTCGTCTGCGCCCTCTCCACAACACAGTTTTTGGTGAGTACAGCAGAGTGCAGACGATCAGAGGATGGGCACCACCCGATGCACTATCAAATGGCTATGACAGAGGATCAGGCATGAGATAATTGGGAGACAGGCCACTAGCGACCGAGACTAGGCTATACCCATTTCTTGATCGCCTGCGTCCTCTCAACAAAACACCGGCCGAGGATCTCAAAAGGGCATAGCTCAGAGCCGCTCACGACTCCCCTACCCGGCTACCCTAGCACCAAGAATGAATCGACCCGCGCTGGTGTACGATCACACGTTGTAGGCCGAGCCGCTACGCAAACCGCAACGTGCTCGCGACAGAATTTCCGCTTTGTTCCGAACGGTTTGCACATGCACATCATCACATACTAACAAAGCTATAATATTAGCAAAATAAATGCATAATTAAGCGAGAAAGGTGATATATAATTTGATGATATTATCCACGAAAGCTGGACAAACGCCTGCGTTGTACAAAGTGTTGTGATCCGTCATAAAATTTACAAAGCTCATTAAGTATACACAAACAATTAAATCGGCCCGATGAAACGCTGCAGTAATGATCTCTCAAGAGATTATAAAAGAATCAATATTGAGAAGTTCAAATATTTTTATCGAATGCAAACCACCCTTCGAGGACGCGATTTCCTTTCCTGTCTTCAGGACGATTCCTCAACTTTTGGAGTGGAATATACAGTAAATACAACTTGTTGTTATCCATCAGCCCTCCAGAGTTCCATACTGACACTTCTAGAACCCGCGTAGACAACACGTTCTCTCCACCAACGATGTCGTAATACATCTGTAATACGTGGCTATATTCGTTTACTATATGACTGTACTTTACTACTTTACTATACCACACTGACTGTGAGTTCAGGACGTGTCAGCATGGCGCGTTTTGGCGCAGCTCCGGCCCTTTCCTCATCACCTCGAAGCCGCAACGTTCAACGGAAAACGAGCTGGCGCTGCGCCAAGACCGACACCCCCTCCTCTTGACACGCCCCGACCGACTCATGATAACTACACCACACTTCAAAATTACGTCAGCGTCAAGCAATCGCCTTGTGCTAGCTTATTTCGCCTCCTAAAGCATTCGATCTAAAGCAGGGGACATCACATCTGAAAGCACTGTTCACGATGACCGTTTGAGTGGAGAAATGAAACCATAGTGCCTCCCACATTGGTGAGCTCTTCCTTTTTCCGCCTTCTAAGTGGCGGCGCCCTCCATTCAGTCAACTATTCCATTCCAAGATCAGGTTTGCGTTTCTCCAATCACTTCTTCACTAAATCTGACAGACTTAAAGACACACCTGCTCAAATACTAAACACAAGACGGCGAATAACACAAAAGTGGAGAAAAAAGCGCTAAAGCCGACCGAAGTGTCTCGTATAGAACCCCATGCTGAACCGCGCTTGTACGTGCATCAGGCCAAGTGAGGGCGTGGTCGAGTAAGTTCTCGCTTGTTGATACCAGCTCTTTCTCCTTATCACTTCACTCCCATCATTCGAAATGCAGAAAGCAGTGGAGCAACCGCGCCTTCAGGTAGCAGTTAAAAATAAATGTTGGGCGCGGCCCAGTGGGCGGAGCCGTGGTTCCGCCGCGAGCGGGTAGCGCATTCCTCATATTTTTCAGCTGCGAGAATAGTACATCCTGCATGTTTAAGCGCTCAAACATCAAATAAACACGGGGCTTGCCTTCGAGTCCTACCATCCGGTGGACTAGATTCCCCAAATACGGTACGTGATGATTCTCATTAACTCAGAAGTGACAAAAAAAGCACAAACCCTTCGAATGTGTCCTCACCTCTCTGTTGAACGTCGGGTTCTGACTAGCTTTGACAACCTGCGTTTTCCTCTTCGATAAATTCTGTGGATCGGGACGAATGTACGATTTCACGTATGCATCTGGAGCTTGGCCAGTTGTTAACAATGCCAGATGTTTTACGTGGCCTGAAATAAACGTTTTTGCGACTTCCAGAGGATGAGTTACTGGTTACCGATCAAATGCTCACCAACGAAAATGCTAAGCTGCGAATGTTGCTTGTTGCCATTGAATTGGATCTTCAGATATACTTCGCATTGGCTACGATGCGAATCGTTCGCCGATTCCTCAGTACCTTGAAAATCAATATAATCGAAAACCAGAACAGCAGTATCAATCCAGGGGACTACTACAAAAGTTAGAAGCGCCACGTTACGCGACCTTCCCTTTTGGGTAAACTGGGTATGTGACAAGACAATCGTACTGTAACGCGCTGGTGGTTAGTAGCGGGCGACGCCGCGCCCGGACTTCTCCTCCCTGGACTGGCTGCTACTTAGCAAATGAGAAGTTGCCGTTCAGAACACGCCGCGTGCGACGGCGCGACAAACATGATTATCTTGTCCGTCCCCCTGAACTACCAGCCAAAGGGAGAATTCCGGTCAAATTATAATACTGGTAAGCCAAAAGAGGAATTGTAAATCACCTATATACGAATGAATATTACTGTCGCGAAGAATAAGGTGGAAGAATGTGTACACCAGATCACACTGAAACCATAATATAATTAAAATCAAGTATTCTACGAGCACCAAACAATGTTTCAAAAAACATATCAAAATTTAAGCAAATCATGATCACTAGTCGCAGTCTCCAAACTCCGCCCGCGCGGCCGCACCAGAGCACATCATTGGTTGGGGATTTTAGTCGAGTCTGTACGACCCTCCCCTTTTTTGGGGTTGGAACGACCCCTCCCCCCTCCGGCCCTCTATCCCTCTCCTCAAATTGAATCGAAGCCGTCCGAGGTGCTGTTGGGGCTGGAGGTGGGAGGGGGGGGGTAATAACACATCGTGAAACCTCATTAATCGAGCTGTCGAGCGTCAGTGTGGATTGGTGTGGGGGGGGGGGAGATAGGGGGGGTAAATAGCACATGTGAAACAGGAACGAAATACCGCGAGACAATACGACCCCCACCTCTTCCACCAAATCTCAGTTCCCCAACTTCCTGCCAATTCTTCCGAAATTTTCCAGTAAACTTCCCCACTTTTTCCCAAAAACTATTTGCTGCGAGCGACTGGGGGGGGGTATAGTACGCATGAAACAGGAAAATCACGAAAAGTCAACCACCACTCCCACCACTCCTAGAAAGGCCAGAAAGTAAATACGACCCCCCCCCCTTTTACAACGTCCGTGAAGCGAGAAAAATCAACTATCAAAATAAATTTTTCTCAGCCCAAATACGACCCCCTCCCCCCTCCTGGCGGCCAAATGTTTGGGTGTGCGTGACTATCAGCCCCCCCCCCCAGCTGTCGAAGCGTAGCGGTTTCCCCGTCCTAACATACGCCGGAATGGAGACAGCAAACTCCCGTTCATGTAACAGTCGTCCGCGCGGCGCGTGTCGGCAACTGGCATGCACTGGCACTTTGCCAAGTCCTGTAATTGCGCTTTGGAATACAAGTAAAACGCAATTTCCTGATGCGGATAACATTTTAGGTGCTGCAAAATAAGAACCGAAGATGATGACGAGGGCCAGAACTCAAGAGCAACTGTGCTGCTTCTGCAATATCCCTCGGAGGCGCGCATTTCCACGAAACATGAAAATAAAAACGGCCTAAGCGTCCCACTCGTTAGTTTAAAGTATTTCTATGGTTTTGGAGCCGAATTCGCGCCGGATCTTAGAAATTTACACGCGATTTTAATTAATTTGCGTTTCCTTAATTTTTTCATTTTGTTTTATTTACATCTACATTCGTTGTTCTTCATTTCTAGCCTTTGTCATCTTCATCACCTTCTATTCGGACTTTGAAGCATGAGCAACACCTCAAATGTTATTCGCATCAGGAAATTGCGTTTTGCTTGTATTAAACTAACGAGTGCTTAGGCCGTTTTTATTGTCATGTTCTGTGGGAATGCGCGGCCTCTGAGGGATATTGCAGAAGCAGCACAGTTGCTCTTGAGTTCTAGCCCTCGTCATCATCTTCGGTTCTTATTTTGCAGCACCTAAAATGTTATCCGCATCAGGAAATTGCGTTTTACTTGTATTCCAAAGCGCAATTACAGGACTTGGCAAAGTGCCAAGAGAGCTGCGCGCGACACGCGCCGCGCGGACGGCTGTTAGCATAAACGGGAGTCTGCGCCGCAAAAGGCATTGGGCGGAGCATGGAGGAATTAGCGTGTTTCACGGTCCTGTATCTCCATTCCTGCGCATGTTAGGACGGGGAAACCGCTACGCTTCGACATCTGGGGGGGGGTCTAATTATTGTGCTCTTGCTTTCATCGTCGTAGAATGCTTCGCGTCGACGTTCGCTGGCCGCGCTCAAACCAATAATTGAACTTACATGACAAATTTCGGAGCTCAGAGTGAATAAGTAACGTAGAAACGACTCGATATCAACCATTCGCCTCTGCGCCACTTCACGCACATTCGACCGCATCTTTGTGCCCGAACTTAACGGCGGGAACGCCACAGTAGGAAATCTGAACGACATACGGGTAAAATACAAGTAAAATACAACTGACGCCGTGGTTGAATGTTTACAGGCATACCTTCTACGAAGTTTTATGTACAGTTCATTAAATTCGTTGAATGATCGATACACATAGGACGACACCGTTTCAGATTCACGGCTCACTTCAACTTTGTAAAGCTGTAAAACGTCACAAGTACTCGCGGAGAAAACGAGAACAAATATCGTCCTTACATAAACTTTGTTGGGCATAAAACGCTTTTCGAAGGTAATCACTCGTACTCCTGAGATTCTTCCATCGGTCGCCTGTCTGAAACCAACTGTTTATATGACATCGTGAGTCAAGAAAGTCAAAGTATTGCAGGCGTGCCAACTGAAACGCTCGAGCTCTGGTTAATTTTTCATTACCGCAACTCCACTGATACCTGTCGCAGAGATTTGAAGGCCGTGGGCACAGGAATGGCAGTGGGCACTGGCAGCCGTCGATTATTGTCGGTGCCATTGGTGGAAGGGCTGTGAGAGGTTATCTGGCCGTTTCCCACTGAACCACTCCACCAATGACGTTGGCGACAACCGCCCGCCCCAGCATTCGAGCTCGCCTTTTTAGTCACCTTCCGCAACACTAACAGGTTCAATTACATATGACGAGGAGGTTCTTACCCCAGTTTACCATCTTGCCAGGCGAAAGCGCTGTGAAATAAGCCAGGGCCTCTGATGGCCCTCTTCACTCAGAAAAAGCTCGCATATACAATTGTAGCAATACGTTGCGTTCGAATTTCGGGTTCTACAAGTATTTGCAGCTATTGGCTCTCTGGTTGTCTGGTCTCTCATCCGGGCCAGTGTTTCACCCCTCACTTGTGTGCTCTTCTGATTTCCAAAATCCACCACCAAGAGGATGACTTCGCATGTGGCGCTTCAGATAAATTCTTCAGCTTTCATTCTCCGGTGGTAAGTCAATGCACCGACGAAATGGTATCCAAAATTCACTACCAACAATATAGGCTGAGGTGGTATAGCGACAAGTGGCGCGCTTAGCACTCGGCTCGGTCCCGGGTTCGAATCCTGTTTAGACTTCCGCCCAGGCCAACGAAGCCCTCTACCCGGGACGATAAACTGGTACCAGATTCGACCGGCAGGATAAGGAACACTGACTTGTACATCGGCTGCCTCCCCCCCCCCCCCAAGTCATTGTATAGGCCACATCGCATTCAATAAGCCACTACGATTCTGAATGGAAGTAGAATGAGGCCGATCCCATAAAGGGATTGACCAACGGCGAAGAATTTATCCTTTTACCCGCGATATGCAGTTGCAGAACGGGTCCTTCAGCATCGACCCAAGTCCCGAAACTCCACTGTAGGACCACATACGTTTACGAGTGCCCCTGATTCTATAGATGACACACTCCATAGCTCGAAGATGGAGAGGGCGTTTCTACTGCATCATGTAAACATGGGGTAGGCTACGTTGTTAGTGGTAACTTTCCATTCCAGACAAGTGTCATCCTGTGCTGGATAAACGCATGCTTACGAGTGGCCAAAACGAAAATATCTCACCAAAAGCGCATCAACTAAACCGAGATACGCATCCACGCCCTCTCGATTCCAGGGGAAAGGAAGTATTTCTCTAATTATCCTTTTGCTCCCCATTCCACTCGTACCTGTCCACTTTATGCCTAACAATTGAAACTCACGTGTAAAGCTGTGGCACAAAACTAATGTTGTCGTTATTCTTTGCTGAGTTCCCTGTTGTTGAAGACATCACTTGGGCTAATGTGTGAAAGAAGAAGTTAATTCGAGGAAAAGCTGATTTCAACGAATGCTGAAATAAAACGTAAGAATGGAGATAATTTCAAAAATAGCGGAAAGTCCTATTTAAAATTTCAAAGTAAGTGTACCCACATTAATCAACTGAGTAAATTGTATTACAGCATCTGTTTCACTTAATTCCAACATGAGATTCTTCTCGACAAAATTAAGAGATTCCACATTCATACCAGCTATATCTGAGCAAGCCATCTAGAAGTAACGATCACTTGTTAATGATTTTTTTTCGCAATAACTATAAATTACTAGCCATTTTCAATGGATTGGCAAGAATAGTATAGTTCCGCCGTAGATAGTTGAACGCTTGACAACAATAATCGATGAACGTTTGATAACTTTCCTTCTGTTGATTTCCACCGTTGATGACATGGTACATCTCATCCGTAAAAACGAACGGAACGCGATCTCTGGAAAATTAAGGTAAGAAGTAAAAATTACAAAACAATGAATATAAAATGACACATTGTATGGGCAGGAAGAATCTGTCGTTCAGAGTCGTCCTTTTCGCCCTGAAGACACACTGCACGATTAGGGCGAAACGGACGTGCCCCAAGCGAGAGGTGGGCACGTGCACAAGCGCAAATTATGGCACTTAAATGTGCACCAAAATGAAGCTGAAGGGCTGTGATAGCTGGATTTCCTTTATGCTACCACCCCTTACCCATAAGCGATGCTCAGATCACAATGGTATGTTGTGGGTGAGGCAAGACATTCGCAATATGCCGCGGGTGGGCGTGGCGAGAAGCGTTGCGTCCAATGAAGACTTGCCCGCCTGGCTGTTCGGATTTGAGTGGCAAGCATATAAAAAAAATCTGATGTCGTGGAGTGCTATCTCCGCTTGAATTCATAATAGTTTTGCTGCTCAAGTCGACAAACCGGTGCACACTGAGAATTTACCGTGCGTCACCGCACGATGCGCCGTGGGCGACGATGCAGCAAACAGCGGCCGTCTTGTCGGTGTTATGTTGCCAACACATTCGCTGCGCAACTTCGCCGACCAGTGTCCAGCGGACAAGCTGGCATGCTGGTGAGGGCAAGCTTTGAAGCGGCCCAGCCATTTAAGGGGCCGCACAGAAGTAGACGTGTGGTCATGATTGGGAGTGTGGCTGGATGTGCGGCGTGTTGCGTGCTTGTGGTTCGCTTAACGTGTATTGAAGGGCGAGCGGAGATGTAATTGAAAAGCTATCGCAATCCTTCCACTTTCATTTCGGCGCACTTCCCACTGAAGAAAGTACGTATACTTCCATAGCTACGGACCTGTACACCTCGCACGGAAAAGGACCAGGGCACGTGGAACGCTAGGGATCCCCATGGGCGAGACCACATTTGGTCGAAGGGAGGGAGGGGGAAGGGACGGATTGTGACTGCTTTTGAAAAAAAGGTTTTGTTTTCTGATTCACCTTGGCTTATGCGCTTTGCTGGCGCTATATACATACCTGCCCACCCTCCCCCAACCCACGGCAGCGGCAGCGCAATCTTACACTACCTTTTCAAACGGCGGGCTATCGGCTTCGGAAGTCCCTATTCAAAGGACGGCACAAGGCAAGTGACACACTAACGTGATCACAAGAGTGCTGAGTTGTGGGCAAAAGTCGGACCACGGGCGGGATTCGAACCCGCATCTTCCGCTTACCGGGCAGTTGCGTTCCCTATTACGCTACCGAGGCCACTCTTGCCTCTCAGCTCAATGGCTATTTGTGCCATTGCCTTCGAGCACTCACACGTTCAACTAAGTAAGTTTCAGTATACTGTGAAGCCGATTGACACGCTTAACGATAAACTTAGCAAGCTCCAATATGTTCCGATAAGTACTTACGGGACAAATCGTAACAAATTGTCAATATTTTCCCCAGTATGGAAGCAGAACTAAGCGGAACGATTAAATGAACCAAATTAGATAACGAATAAAAAGCATTACTACAACCTCCTGAATCCACCAGCCGTCTGCCAATCGCCCATATACTTTCCGAAATCGATGTGAAACACATGACCAGCAGTGGTTACTAGTATATTATCGTTATGACGATCACCTATTCCTAGCACGTACGTCGCAACACACCATCCAGCACATGATCGAGTGAAGTTATCCAAAGCCTAAAAGAAATATTTTCTGGAAGAATCGATCATAACTTCTTCCTACGCTCCTTAACCCCACGAATCCCTTGTTAAACGCAAACGCAACAGTCAACTAACTACAAGGGCAGCAATCACCTAGAACTTATTATAACAACTTACTTGCTTGTACATGAACTCTGTGGTATTGTGTTTCATCAGCCAGTTCATGAGGATATCTTCCTTGAAGACGCCCGTCACTCCAAATTCCTTTTGAATTTCACACAATGTCGCGCAGTCTAACACCAGCTCGGCCATTCCTAGAAAGGGAGAAAAATTTACACTACATAAAGATCAGATAAAAATCTATGTACTGATCGCGATCAACGAAAATCAAATTTGAACTTAGGCAGCGTTCAGACTTGTAGCGCTACAGCGTCGCGCTACAGCTGTAGCGCTACAGTTGTACCGAACTCCAGCTTTTACGTTTTTTTTTTCTTTCTGTATTCAACCTCTCTTCTCTTGTTTCTCATATTTATCTGATAGTGAGCTCCTGTTTTCTACTTTATCACATTTTAATGTAGTTTTTGATACATGAAAACAATTTCGCAATGGGATCAAGCACGAGGCAGCACTGCAAGACATCGAAGCCAAAGCCATCAAATTATTCATCAATAGCAACTCTGAAATAATTAAAGTTAAAAACGATAAATAAAACCAATTATCACAGTCTTCTGTATCAAAAACTACATTAAAATGTGATAAAGTAGAAAACAGGAGCTCACTATCAGATAAATATGAGAAACAAAGAGAAGAGGTTGAATACAGAAAGAAAAAACATAAAAGCTGGAGTTCGGTACAACTGTAGCGCTACAGCTGTAGCGGCTACAATCTGAGCGCTGCTTTTAAAACACGGGGCTTGTGCTGAGGGCGGGGGTTGCCTGCGGACGGTCATTGGTGCAGCCGCAACTAGAAGGGGTGTGGGCTCTCTCGCGACTATTCCACCGCCCAGTGATCGTCTGGCGTCAAACGCCCTACATACAGGCATATCACACCCTCCCTTTGCCTCTGAAGCGCCTATCAGTACCTTCACTATACCGAACGGCATCGCATCTAAAAGGTTATCATTCCGTAAGATTTTTCTCAGGTGTGCTCGCTAGGCCAAATTCCGATTCATTAAAATGAAACCTTTGTAAAACTAATGGCATCCTGCCTCATATCGTCACCACTCTGTAAAGAATGCTTTAGCAACCGTGAAACAAAATTCGTAAAGAAAAATCCATATACCTTGTGAATAATAGAGTAAGTGGAGTTAAGACCACGGAATACAATTTTTAGAGGTTTCGCATTAGAATTGAAAATGTTGCAGTCTTTAACCACTACACCACTGCATTTGAATGATGGAAGGCAGGGTAGGCGAACATTATGATGGAGCAATGCACCATCCAAGGTTCCGAGGCGCGAGCGTAGGAGCGCTAGCTATAACAGTGTTATAACATTGATAAAAAAATCACAAAGAGTTATAAAGCCAGTTCAGTCGGCTGAATACAAACAGTACAGTACTTTAGAGGTGAATCATTACCGTCCGACAGGTGCGCAGGTACACAGCCTCAGTAGTGTGGCTACTGCCTTCGGATGTGCGAGGCAATAAAGCTAGATTCTGAGGACAGGCTGGTATTTTTTATATCTCCACCCATCATCGGCTACGCGACACGTACACCGTAGCCACGCCATACGCCCACCCTTCCCCGAAAGAGCGCAGGCGAGCAACGCACTTGATAAGGTTAGGCGTAAGGATGGTCGTATGGTGCAGCTTCGAAGTGGGTGTCGCGTATGGGATGGTGTGTGGAGCGGAGGAACTCGAAGCTTCCGCGACTCTGTGTCTCTGAGGCAGCGTTCAGACTTCGCGACGGCAGCGCTTCGGTCGCGCGTTCGGCGCGATCGATGCGCATGCTTTTTCGACTGCATCGATCGCGTCGAACGCGCGACCAGAAGCGCTGCCGTCGCGAAGTCTGAACGCTGCCTAAGACCACGTATTGAATAATAAGGGCGCCACACTTACGGCTGCGGACCTGTACGCCTCGCATAAAGAAGGATCCACCTTCTAACAATCCTACAGCGTGCTATGGGGTACTAGCGAAAATAAAAAAGGAAAGAAAAGATCTACCCGAGTTTGATCTGACTCCTCTCTACGCAGATCCATTTGAATGCAATCGAGTTCGTTCAATAACTTATGCTGCCGAGCAATTTCATCCCTTCAATGAGAGAAACTAAAAAAAAACTAGTAAAAAGTATGACTACACAAACCTCAGATGGTCAGCCTCGTGTCGCTCTAGCAACTCCTTCTGCAATAGCGAACAACGCTGAGCATAGGCAAAATCGACACAATGATCTATCCTCTGTTGTAACTGCCTTAAATTACCGCAGCGCTCAAATTCACGGTTAGGGCAGCTCGCTAGCGGTTAGAACTTACCAGTATATCTCAAAAGCAAATCGCCGATCCTTGTATGACAGCGTCAGAAGAGCTACTGCCAGTGAAGATGACTCGAATATTTCAAACCTCAGAGCCTCTACAAGTTGCGGCAAAGCGTTAAATAAGAAGTCTGACGATGCACACATAATCCATTCAATGGCTTTCTGCCTTATTCGCGCATCAGGATATCTGGAATGAGCCACGCATCTGATCTACCAACCACGTCTTAGTAACTGAGATATCTGTGGCGGAGCCCGTATTCTACACTCTTGTTCGCTCCAGATGTTGGTGTGTCAAGAGGGAGGCAGAATTGGCGCAGCGGCAACACGTTTTCCTCCAACGACTGTCGCTTTCCCCTCTTCAACAACTGAAGGAGAACGGGCTAGCGCCGCGCCAAATCACACCCTCCCTTGACACCCCCCCAGACATGACACATATCAGGTCTATGATTGAAAATACAGGTCGCTGCTGTTCATCCACTATTGAAAACTTACTGCGGTAGCAGGAGCTGCATGGCCTGAACTGGTGATAGCGGAACCCAACCCTCAATAATCTGGTAAACATTCGAAAGAAAATAGAAGCCCCAATCGGGAACAGAAGCCAACACCTGGAAATTGGTAGTCATTAGAATAATTTAAGGATCATCTTAATGACGCGAACGTACCAGAGGTAGCGCTTCCGGTAGATGCATCAGATATGAACGCTTCTGCCACAGCATTTCCTGCTCATCTGGTGTTAACCTAAATAAAGCCTAGTGTACTACTGTCCCTGAGCATAATGGGAACCTAAGTGTTGCGAATGAGAATGTAAATGTTGCGAAACAAGAAGAGGCTAAGTTAAAAAAACCAATGACTCCAGGGGCCGTATGCTACATTTCCCCTCAAAGGGAAGGGCTCCCCCAAGGATCATATCGATCATACTCTTTGCTGCACTATATTCGCGTAGAGCAGGTCTCAGAATATCTGTCAACAGCGGCGCCTTACTACTCCATCCTTTTTTCGTTCCTCCTTCCTTCTTTCTTTTCCTTCCTTCTCTCATCCCTCTTCTTTATTTTCCTTCCTTTAAATACTCGACCAAAAAACGCGATGAACACCCTGGACCCTCGCAGCGAGAGAGCGTCCGGTGACAGATGCTTGTAACCCACAGAGCATGCGTTAAGCGAGTGTGGATGCAGGTGGGTGAGAGCCAGAGAGACGACGGGCATCAGTAGAGATAACGGCAGAGAGTGATGGCTGCACCAGAGGGAGTATCTCCCCTTGAGGGGGAGTACAGCATACGGCCCAGAGCCCTTGCGGGCATATCCCTCTGCCCAAAGACGTAGACTTTTAGAGCTTTCGGGCCAGACTCCCATAAGTAGAGCTGCTC